GGGCGGTGTGCGGGGGTGGGAGGAAATGTTTGTGTATGAGACTTACTGTCTCTCTGTGCTCCGGATGAGGTCCAGATCCTTCCTGCTCTGATGCTGTTGCTTTCTGAGAAAGGCTATTTATAAACTGGATTCTGGACATGCTTATACTTCCTCCCCGTTAGGAAATGCCATCTTGTGTTTATCTTCCTTGTGTGAAATCCAGGGATAACTGAGAGCTTCTGAACATCCCACCTTGTTTAATATAGTGCTATTTTATTAAATGAGAAGCAAAAGCAGAAGATGGTTATTATTATGTCTGATTTATGCAACTGAAATCCTACGATGCCTTCTTCATTCAAATGAAGAAGTTATTTCCCAGTTGAGGAGTGAGGTCGCTATGTCTTTGGTCATTTCATATGAAAGGGGCCAGTTTAAGGCATCGGTTTAAGCCACATAATACACCCAGGATGATATCAAAGGATTTAGTTTTGTAAATTTCCCCCTGCTTCAGAGAAAGGTAAGTTTTCCAGATATATGGCCACCAGCCTTAGCTCCAGGAGGAGAGAATCCCTTCCTGGTACACTCGAATCGCATAGGAATCCGATCATTGTAAAAGGGGTCCCATTGTTTGCTCATCAGCCTCCTCTGTGCATGGGAAAATGTTGAGTTTGCTTCTGGAGTTGGCAGCAGTTTCAATAATGCTGTATGTTGACCACATTTAGGGAAAAAATGGAAACAGAGTGTAATAGAAGAGCCTCTCAGATAGAAGCCCAGTTTCAGGCTGACTGTGAGAAAGTCACTGAGCGCTGTGAACACACTCTGCAAAGCCTGGAAGGACGCTACCGCCAAGAGCTGAAGGACCTCCTGGACCAGCACCTGGAGGAGCGGTCCCAGTGGCAGTTCGAGAAGGATGAGCTCACTCAGGAGTGCACAGAAGCCCAGGAGCAGCTGAAGGAGGCACTCCAGAGGGAGAAGGCAACTGCTCTTGTCCTGAACCAGGAGCGGGAGATGCTGGAGAAGACATACAAGGAACGTTTGAGTAGCCTAAGCATGGAAAGAGATCAGCTGCTGCAAGACCTGGAAGACCTTCGCAACACTTCGGAGAGCCAGCAGGGCCTCTTGTCTGACCAAATACTTGAGCTGAAGAGAAGTCAGGAGAGACAGCTGAGGGAACGAGAGCTATGCCAGACAGGGACCTCTGAGCAGCTGGCCAGCCAGTGGCTTGAAAGGTTACAGGTAGAGCGTGAACAAGAGAGGGGAGAAATGGTAGGCAAGCTTGCGGCCCTGGAGAGCGCCCACAGAGTGAGCTGTGAGAGAGCAGATCTGGAGAAGGCTGAGCTGAGTGCAGAAATCCGCAGGCTCCAGAATACAGTAAAGGACATGCAACAGGCAGCGTCTCTTTCGGGGCTCCAGGGTGCTCATTCTCTGGTAATGACAGGGGAGGAGGCAGAAGGAAATGGAGCCATGTCCCTGCTTCAGCAAGGGGAGCAGCTGTTGGAAGAAAATGGTGATGTCCTCATCAGCCTGCAGAGAGCTCATGAGCGTGCCGTGAAGGAAAATGCAAAAATGGCTACTGAAATTTCTAGATTGCAGCAGAGGCTGAAAAAATTAGAGCCTGGGTCAGTGATGTCACCTTGTTTAGAGGAGCATATCATTGAGATTTCTGGAAGTTCCAGGGAACAAGCTGAGTCATTTTTATCACAAGTAAAGCAAGGAGAAAGTTCCACCACCAAGCACATCCTCAGTGATCTAGGTGACTGCGAGGCCCAGGACCTGGGTAGTACAGGGACAAGCTCTGTTCAGAGGCAGGAGTGCAAAACTGAAGAGTTGGAAACATCCCTGGAGTGCTTTTCTGAGCTCGAAAACAGTGAAGACACCAGGACGGAATCCTGGGACCTGAAGAGCCAGGTTGTTCAACTTCAGGAGCAACTAACAGTCTTACGAGCAGACTGCGATCAGGCTTCTGAAAGGAAGCAGGACCTACTTTTTGATATTTCTGTGCTGAAAAAGAAACTAAAGATGCTGGAGAGAATCCCCGAGACATCTTCCAGATATAAGTTGTTATATGAAGATGCCACTAGAGAAAATGCCTGCCTCCAGGAGGAGTTGAGGCTCATGGAGGCACGCTACGATGAGTCACTGGACAGCAACAAAGAGCTCACTACTGAAGTCTTCAGGCTGCAGGATGAGATGAAGAAAATGGAGGAGGTGATGGAAACGTTCCTTAGCCTGGAGAAGAGTTATGATGAGGTCAAAATGGAAAATGAGGAGCTCAGTGCTCTGGTGTTGAGACTTCAAGGGAAGATGGAGAAGGTGCTGGATAGAGCCCCTCTGCACTGTGACAGCTACTCCTTGTGGGAAGCCCCTTCAGAACACCTGGAGGTCATCTCTGATGAAAAGCTGCTTGAATTCCGTCAGACTCCAGGGTGTACACCCAAGGTCATGAGCATGCACCACACCCTAGAAGAACGCAGACAAGAAACCAAATGGTGTGAACAGGAAAGCACGCGGCTCCTGGCTAGAATTAAAGCACATGAAATTGCCTGGTTCCATGGGACAATTCAGACACATCAGGAAAAGCCTAGTGTGCAGAATCCAGTTCTCCTGGAGGAAAGTGCTGCCCTCCTAGGCCTCCAAGACACACATCCTCAGCATCAGGTCACAATCGCAGAGTTAGAACTGGAGAAACAGAAGCTACAGGAACTGACTAGAAAGTTGAGGGAGCGAGTCAGCACATTAATCAAGCAGAGAGATGCACCTTCTCAAGGAGAGAAGGAGGAAGAGCTGAAGGCAATGATGCATGACTTGCAAATCACATGCAGTGAGATGCAGCGCAAAGTTGAACTTCTGAGGTAATGTATGGGCCTTCTAGACCTCGTGGAAGCCTGCAGAGCACCTGGTCAAATCTAACCGCCGCTGCTTGCTGTGCCTAGAGACACTAACCTATTAGTCTCAAGAAGAGCAGTGTTCTAGCCTTCTCTGCTTCTGTGTGTATTAACAACTAGAGTAACCTTGTCTAGGTGGCATCCCCTTCTGCATAGCAAATCCATGTTGTCCCTATGCAGTATGGAAGCTCAACATGGCGAGTGTCTGTTATTTAACCATATGCATCATCGGTGTTCGTCCTTAGCCCTCTCCTAGCACTTACATCCTTACAACGGATGGATAGATACCGTTCTGCTCAATGTTAGTTACTGTCCTCATTTCGCTGGAGCATGTTATATGGAATGAATGCCTTTTGTGTAGTTTTAACTCACTTGGTAGATAACAGTGCTATAATTACACTAATACAGGCAATGTGTTGATTGGTTTATACTTGTTCCTTCCACACTTGAAGTGTATGCTAGTATCCAACAAACAAGCAGTTACCAGAGTCTAATAAATATTCTTGAGGGATAAAGACAAAGTAAACCACTTTGAACAACTACCAACCTGACTTTATGAAATAAGATTGCATTTTAGTATTCTAGCATCCTTGGGTTTTTCTTTAACTTGTAAAATACTACATTGTGTCTGAAATATCTTAATGGTATAAAACAAAAATAATTCTGTTGTGAATGAATGTGTGTTTCCTTTTCCTCAAATGACTTTTATGTCAGAACCCCGGAATACACTGAGAAGAATAAACTGCATATTTTGGTATGCCTCTTGGGTTTATGTAGTACATTTTCTTTCTTAAGGTCCCTGGGGGCCTAAACTAAATCTCAGATATCATAGTAATGTGGCTTTTGTCTGTTCAGAGCAGGGAAGACTTGAGACTGAGGTAAATGAAGCCAGCTGTTCAAAGCAGCCTGCTTGCCATTGAGAAGTCAAAACCAGCATTGGCTTTGAGTCTGGATTCCTGTCTCCATGCTCAAGGCTTTCTAGCCACGCTCTCCCCCGACACCTCCCCCCATGTCTTTTAGTGAGATTCTTATTTCCCAAAAGTAGTGACTCAATATGTTACAACTTGATTTCCAAGTACCAAGAGACTACTAATTTAGACCTCTACTTTATCTGGCATGAAAAGCTCTCTTTATTGGAAGTTACTAGAAAATATTTTCTGAAGATGCCAGATGACTGCCATGTTGTAACATTTTTTTTCTAATCTCTACACTTCAGATATGAATCTGAAAAGCTTCAAGAGGAAAATTCTATCTTGAGAAATGAAATTACTACTTTAAATGAAGAAGATACCATCTCTAACCTGAAATTAGAGGAATTAAATGGATCACAGGAAGAATTGTGGTAAGACATAGATAGCGCACTTAAATTTTACAAGGACTGAGAACTATTTAACTTCTATTTTAAAGGCTTCACTCCTGAATCATGTTCTCATTGCTCCTTTAGGCAGAAAATAGAAACTGTAGAACAGGAAAAAGCTTCAATTCAGAAGATGGTTGAAAAATTAAAGAAACAGGTAAGGAAACACTTAAAAATTTCCTAGTGTTTCTTGACTCTGAAATTTTCTTTTTTTATTTGAGATTTACAAACTAAATAAGTAAATAAATAAATAGAGTAGTAGAATAATATGTAGTATGAGATGGTGAGGTTGACAGTGGAAACTCATCTCATATTGACTCTAAACTAGGTCCCTGCCTTTGAAAATCATGTATAGTCTATTTACAGACCCTCATTTCGAAATACAAGCTTTATACCTAGAATACATGGGCAGGTAATGCTTATGAGCCTTACCTGTGAATACTGGTTCTAGCCTTTATTAACTATAATTAATGTCAGTTCCTTCATTTTTCTGATTAAAAGCCGAAAATTTCTGACAGAATTTCACAGCTATAGAATGCCAGCAGATCTGCATATCATTTCACAGACTTGTAACTCGTTCAGATGGCTTATGTCATTCAATGCTCATTTTGTATAATCTTACAACATGTACTCAAGTATGGGAGAGCTGTTTATGAACATATCTGAAATAGTCCCAAGACAAGGACATACTTGGGAAAGGAATATTTTTAGTGTCTAAAATAGCCAAGGTAACATCCAAAATATATCTTGTACTATTTCAAATAAGTGGCAGAACTCAGTTAAAAAGTAGTCTATAGATATAAAGAATCAAATCACAGAAGGACATGACATTATATACAGGATGGATAGCTTCAGAGTGTTAGGGAAATTTATATAGTTTATGGGTTTTTTTTTTAACCTATTAAACTAACAAAAATTAAACAAGAAAATGAGGAAGTAAAACTACATTGTCGAGAGTCAGCTGGTAGCACCTATAGGAAGACTTTTGGGGCCTTCTGTATTGGCTTCCTTTGTAACCCAGCAAGGCCATAAACAAACAAAAAGAAACAAACCCAGAAATGATACCATTTTATTGTTAATAATAAAAAAATGATAATGACAAACATATATATCTATCTATGCAGGAATGGATAATGACAATAGGAGAAGCCTTTTTGCATAAAATGCCCTGCATTCATCAAAATATATACCATAGGGTGGTATCTAGATACACTAAGTTGGAAAGATAACATCTCCATGATATCCTAAGTAGAAAAAGCAGGCTGTTCAAACATGCAATGATTCTTTTTACCTCTATTTTTATTTTTTTGCTAAATGTAAGTAGTATTATGTATGCATAGAAAATGACCTAGTAGTATGTGTATTCAAATATAAAGAATAGGGAACTCTGTGGCCTGAAATTAGCCTGTGTCTAACTTTTTCATATACTTCTGAATAGATTGAATTTATAATGAGCATATGTTATTTTTGTTATTGTGTATGGTTAAGATCACACAAAGGAAAACTAAGTTTATTACAAAAAAGATATACAGTAGGCTCATCCTCCACAGCGGACCCCCTTTGGGGGTCCAATGACCCTTTCACAGTGACTGCTTAAGATCATTGGAAAACACAAGTTATTTATATAAATCACAATTTTGAAATAGCAAGGCAAATAATTTTGTGTTTGGGAGTCACTACAACATGAAGAACTAACTGTATTAAAGGGTCACAGCATTAGGAAGGTTAAGAACAACTACTCCACAGCAGAGCAGCCAGGGAGAGAAGGAGGGCTGCCCTGTGGCAGAGTAGCCTCTTTCAGAGATTTTTTTTTTTTTAACTTTACATTGAGAGAGGGGAAAAGTCTCTAAATATGCTTTTTTACTGTTACAGCAAAAGTAGGGCAGCAATTTTTTTAAAACTTATTTCAATTTTAATTAGGTTTCAGATTTAAAAATCAAAAACCAACAGTTGGACTCAGAGAATACAGAGCTCAGCCAAAAGAACTCCCAAAACAAGGAAGAACTGCAAAAACTTAATCAACGTCTGGCAGAAATGCTATGCCAGAAGAAGGAGCCAGGAGCTTGCACCTCTGAGAAATGGGAACAAGAAAACTCGAGTCTGAGAGAAGAGCTGGATCGATGCAAAGTGCAGGTAGGGTCTCCAGCCACACCCAGCTTCATTTTCTCGGTCCAAAGAAAGAAATTTCTTTTTTTTCTTTTTTCTTTTTTCTTTCTTTTTCTTTTTGGTTTTTGTTTTTTGTTTTGTTTTTTGTTTTTTTATTTGAATTTTTTTTATTTGAATTAGAAACAAGATTGTTTTACATGACAATCCCAGTACCCTTGTCCCTCCCGTCCTACCCTACCACCACCCCCCAACTAAAACCCTACCTATCACATATCCTTTCTGCTCCCCCTGGATGGTGAGGCCTTCCATAGGGTGTCATTAGA